AGTGATCGCCACCAGAGATGGGGACTCGAGTTTGAGACTCGGACTCGAGTGCGACTTAAGTCCCACACACAGTGACTTCAGACTCGACTTGAGACTCGTCCTCGAAAGACTTCAGACTCGACTCGGACTCGAGCTGCGGGACTTGTGAACAATGTTTATTTTTAGGAAACGTCTGATGAGCTCGCTGTTATCCCCCTCCCTCCGTTACAGCCTGCCTACGTAACCACGTACTACGTGGCCTATTGCTGGCAGCGCGCGCGCGACCACACATGAGAGGAAAACAAACAAAAAGTTCGACTGCACCGGCCGCTGCTGTGCCATTCATCGTTAGTTTTGGGTTCAAAAACTTCAAACAAGACGCGCTCAAAAGAAGCGCTCAATGCAAAATATGCAGTATCACGATAAAAGATTCTGGCTCAACTACATCTAATTTTATCAGGCATCTGAAAACGCACCCTGATAGGTGAGTAAACATGTTTAGCTCAGCATTGACCATCTACCATTAGCTTGCTTATTGCTTTAGCTACCTAACGTTACGGGAGGTTAACTCCGATTGTCTTCCTTATGAAATATGAATGAGCGTTTGTTTAATTGCCAAACTTGTGGTGGTCGACTAACGTAACGTTAATCATTTACGTGCCGCTGGCTGCCCGTTGTCTACAAACAGGTTACAGGATTATTGTTGATCATGTAACGTTACAGTTTCATTTAGTTATAACGTTACACTGGTTTGAGAGTCTGGGATGTGTTGACTTACAGTATATAAGCTATGATTAGTTACATAGGCAGTGCAACCAGAAAAAGCCAGAAATGTTGTGTGGCCCATACCTAGTGTGTTAAGAGAAGAGAAGGTTAACCAGTTTGATCTCACCCTTTGGATTTTTTTATTTCTAAACATTTTGTTCTTAACAAGTTACATGCCATAAGTTGGTCAGTTGCTTCACATTTACACTAAAGATTTTGAGCATTTTAATGTTTTGGAAGTGCACTGTAGTGTTAATTTCATTTGGATGCAATTTAGCTACACTGATGTTTTGCACTAAATAGGAGTGTGTCAGTTTTAGTGTTGTGAGTTATATCATTTTCTATATTTGGTCTTATGTCTTGGTATGTTCAAGCTACAAGGCAAAATAAAGAAATTAACTAAAGGTAAAGCATTCTTGGTGTTTTTGTCATGTTGCAATAGCCTGTTTACACTGAATATATACCAAAATCAAAGCTGATACTGTATGCTAATAGATAAAGGAGTCATAATAACATATGGTACCACTTTATTTTGATAGTCCATTTTATACATTCTGCTAACTATAAGTAACTTTGCAGCTGCATGTCAACTAAATTTCATTAGAGTATTAGTAGGCTTAATATCTGCTAATTAAATATTATAATTTCTAATTTTGTTGGTTCCCCAACAGATATTCTACTGACTATAAGTAACTTGGCAACTACAAGTCAACTTGTTCTCCAAACCCGAACCCACATCATAACCTGACAGTCTACTAATACTCTAATGAGAGTTAGTTGACATGTAGTTGAAAATGTACATGGTTAGTAGCATGTCTAAAGTGGACTATCGAAATAAAGTGTAACCTAACATATTACATGCTTTGAATTCCTAATATAAAGCTATGCAGTGTTCTAAGCAACCTGGATGGGTCGCTGTACGTGATGCAACACTTATAACCACAAGAGACTTGAGACTTGACTTGGACTCTAGCTCAGAGACTTGAGACTTGACTTGGACTCTAGCTCAGAGACTTGAGACTTGACTTGGACTCTAGCTCAGAGACTTGAGACTTGACTTGGACTCTAGCTCAGAGACTTGAGACTTGACTTGGACTCTAGCTCAGAGACTTGTGAGCATCTCTGTCAGGATTTATGGGGAGTAGGGGTGTGCCGGTTTCAGAATTGGTAATGACGTTTATGATGTGAGTCAAATGTGACGGTTCTTAACATATCCACCGTCGCCGTCCGGGGGTTAATTATGGGTTAAATTATTTGTGGTTAAGGCAGGTGTGATTGCAAGTTGCCATCCAAAATGATTTTTTTAAATGATCCGATTAGCTGTCTCCATCCACAGGTCAACAGCTTGCTTGGGTCAAATGTCTCTGTGGTCTGCTTTGACAGGTAAATGTGCATCAGGGCTGAGAGACGAGCATGTGACAGACGAGATCTGTACTTGTTTTTTTTTATATGTTGAGATGTGAGAATCCCCTCTCACAAGCTGCACTGCTTAAAGGCAGTGTAAGAGACAGCTTAACCACCTTGTTGATGTTGGAGTAAGCATCTGGGTTACTTGTATTTACTATTTAGACCAAGTCATACACAGAAGAGACTCCCAGGCATTTTCCTGCCTGCTTTAAGCGCATCCATTCTGTCACAGTGGTGTCTTTGTCAAGTTGCAAGGTGGCCTCTATTTCTTGAGAATGCTCCAAACTGTTGTGTTTCCAAAACTGTGGAGGTCTTACATTTCCTGAGGCCATGTTGATCATACAACTTGAGGGAGTCATATCTGATTTCAAACTCTTCAATTAACCCCCTGAGTAAGTTTGTCTTGTCTCTGTTAGCATCAGCGTTAGAAACAGTGTGTGCCCTGTGGTCTTAACCATCAAGCAGAAGTGTGAACTGTCCAATGGCCACCATGAGTTCATCCTTACATTCTCCAATGGTCAGCTTTTCCTTCTGAAACCTAATGGATGTGGTCTTCAAAATGTTGCCAATGTCAAACATGTTTGACAGAAAGCACTGAAAACGCTCTGTGCAGATATGCTGCAAGTCACTGTTATCACTCGTTGCCAGTTGCATTTTAATGGCTGGCAATAGTCTTGATATTTTTAACAGTGTTTCATGCCTCCATGCAGACCATCTGATATTATGAAACTTACCCAGTTTGACAAAGGAGATCCCATTTCCTTCACACAGCTTCTTCAGTGCAGCAGTTTTTTTTGCTCCACCTTTTTGTAAATAAAACTGCAGCAGTTTGACCACAGAGCGATTAAATGTCTCACAGCGTGGCGATCAGAGATGCTCACAAGTCTCTGAGCTAGAGTCCAAGTCAAGTCTCAAGTCTCTGAGCTAGAGTCCAAGTCAAGTCTCAAGTCTTTGAGCTAGAGTCCAAGTCAAGTCTCAAGTCTCTGAGCTAGAGTCCAAGTCAAGTCTCAAGTCTCTGAGCTAGAGTCCAAGTCAAGTCTCAAGTCTCTGAGCTAGAGTCCAAGTCAAGTCTCAAGTCTCTGAGCTAGAGTCCAAGTCAAGTCTCAAGTCTCTTGTGGTTATAAGTGTTGCATAACGTACAGCGACCCATCCAGGTTGCTTAGAACACTGCATAGCTTTATATTAGGAATTCAAAGCATGTAATATGTTAGGTTACACTTTATTTCGATAGTCCACTTTAGACATGCTACTAACCATGTACATTTTCAACTACATGTCAACTAACTCTCATTAGAGTATTAGTAGACTGTCAGGTTATGATGTGGGTTCGGGTTTGGAGAACAAGTTGACTTGTAGTTGCCAAGTTACTTATAGTCAGTAGAATATCTGTTGGGGAACCAACAAAATTAGAAATTATAATATATAATTAGCAGATATTAAGCCTACTAATACTCTAATGAAATTTAGTTGACATGCAGCTGCAAAGTTACTTATAGTTAGCAGAATGTATAAAGTGGACTATCAAAATAAAGTGGTACCATATGTTATTATGACTCCTTTATCTATTAGCATACAGTATCAGCTTTGATTTTGGTATATATTCAGTGTAAACAGGCTATTGCAACATGACAAAAACACCAAGAATGCTTTACCTTTAGTTAATTTCTTTATTTTGCCTTGTAGCTTGAACATACCAAGACATAAGACCAAATATAGAAAATGATATAACTCACAACACTAAAATTGACACACTCCTATTTAGTGCAAAACATCAGTGTAGCTAAATTGCATCCAAATGAAATTAACACTACAGTGCACTTCCAAAACATTAAAATGCTCAAAATCTTTAGTGTAAATGTGAAGCAACTGACCAACTTATGGCATGTAACTTGTTAAGAACAAAATGTTTAGAAATAAAAAAATCCAAAGGGTGAGATCAAACTGGTTAACCTTCTCTTCTCTTAACACACTAGGTATGGGCCACACAACATTTCTGGCTTTTTCTGGTTGCACTGCCTATGTAACTAATCATAGCTTATATACTGTAAGTCAACACAACCCAGACTCTCAAACCAGTGTAACGTTATAACTAAATGAAACTGTAACGTTACATGATCAACAATAATCCTGTAACCTGTTTGTAGACAACGGGCAGCCAGCGGCACGTAAATGATTAACGTTACGTTAGTCGACCACCACAAGTTTGGCAATTAAACAATCGGAGTTAACCTCCCGTAACGTTAGGTAGCTAAAGCAATAAGCAAGCTAATGGTAGATGGTCAATGCTGAGCTAAACATGTTTACTCACCTATCAGGGTGCGTTTTCAGATGCCTGATAAAATTAGATGTAGTTGAGCCAGAATCTTTTATCGTGATACTGCATATTTTGCATTGAGCGCTTCTTTTGAGCGCGTCTTGTTTGAAGTTTTTGAACCCAAAACTAACGATGAATGGCACAGCAGCGGCCGGTGCAGTCGAACTTTTTGTTTGTTTTCCTCTCATGTGTGGTCGCGCGCGCGCTGCCAGCAATAGGCCACGTAGTACGTGGTTACGTAGGCAGGCTGTAACGGAGGGAGGGGGATAACAGCGAGCTCATCAGACGTTTCCTAAAAATAAACATTGTTCACGAGTCCCGCAGCTCGAGTCCGAGTCGAGTCTGAAGTCTTTCGAGGACGAGTCTCAAGTCGAGTCTGAAGTCACTGTGTGTGGGACTTAAGTCGCACTCGAGTCCGAGTCTCAAACTCGAGTCCCCATCTCTGAATCCTGATGTACTCGTTACATCATAAGAAGAATGACATCTACGCTAATATAAGTCTCTCTGTTTATCCCAAGGTTTACCTAGGGCTGGGCGATAAATCGATTTTATCGATTAACTCGAATTTGACGTTTAAAGAAAATCGGGCGATTTGTTTTTAATGAAAATCGGTTTTCACTTGAACTTCCACCACCGACGCTCCCCTTAATAGGCTTCCGTAGTTCAGAGTGGGCTCAGCGCGCCCCCCGCTCTCCTTACAGCCACACAGACAACATGGCAGTTAACAAGGATGAGCTCGTTCCAAAGAAAGGCTCAGTTTCATCGGTTGTTTGGAATTGGTTCGCTTTTTTGGTGTCAGACGCACAACAAATAACGCCACATTGCAAAGTGTGTTTAAAAGCTGTTGCTACCAAAGGTAGCAGCACAACAAATTTATTCCAGCATCTTAAACAGAGGCATGCAGCCGAGTGGGAGGTGTGTGCTTCTCAACGAAACGAACAAGACCGCAGTTCAAACACAGACACACCCGCAAAAAAACAAACTACGGTCCTAGAAAGATTTTCGAACTGTATCCCCTATGACAAGAAAGGACCCCGGTGTAAAACAATCACGGATTCAGTGGCGAAATATATAGCAAGAGATATGGTGCCAATATACACTGTGGAAAAGCCGGGGTTTATTAACATGCTGAAAGTTGTCGACCCCAGGTATGTGCTACCAAGCCGCAAATATTTTGCCGAAGTTGCCTTGCCTCGCCTGTACAACAGTACTCGTGAAAAGATCGCTAGAGAGCTGGAGGGGGTGTCGTTTTACTCCGCCACAACGGACCTGTGGTCCAGTCGAACGATGCAGCCCTATATGAGTTTGACTGTGCATTATATTGACGACTGGACTCTGCGAAGCGTCTGCCTCCAAACAGCGTACTTTCCCGATGACCATACAGGAGAAATAATTGCGCAGGGGCTAAAAGATGCTTTGACTTCATGGAACCTTGATGAAGAACGACTCATCTGTATGACAACAGACAGCGGCACCAACATAATAAAAGCTCTGAGAGACAATGAGTGGCCCAACCTCCAGTGCTTTGGACATAAGCTGTACAACGCTATAGGTAAGAGTCTAATGGCTATGCATTCAAGTGATGTTGATTTTGTTTTACACATGAACAGGCCAGCCCAATTATTGCATGTTGTAATTAATGCAATTTAATGAAATCAAAACATATTCCACAAAATGAACATGATGATTAATCATAATTGTGTGTGTGTGTGTGTGTGTGTGTGTGTGTGTGTGTATGGTGTGTGTGTGTGTGCGTGAGTGTGAGTGTGTGTGTGTGTGTGTGTGTGCGCGCTTAGTGTGCATTAATAACATGTGGAAATGTGAAAAAGACTTGTTTTGACACTGACCAATAGTGACACTAAAAATAGTTTTCATTGTTTTTTCTTTCTTTCTTTATTGTACAGAGAATGGTGTGAAGGACCCACGAATCAATCGTGCTATTGGGGTTTGTAAAAAGGCGGTTGCTGCCTTTTCCTATAGTTGGATGAAAAGAAGAGAGATGGCTGAAGTACAGGCTGAGCTTGGTCTACCCAGTCATCAGCTGGTAACGGAGTCCCCAACCAGATGGGGTTCACGTCAAAAAATGATGGAGAGATTTCTCGAACAGGAGAAGGCCATAGTCCGTGTCCTGGGGTCCGACAAGAAATGCCGTCATCTTGTCCCCACTTGGCAAGATATTGAGGTTTTAGAGTCCGTAAATAAAGCCATCAAGCCACTCCAAGAATTTACAGACGCCCTGTCCGGGGAGGCTTATGTCAGTGTCTCCTACATTAAACCGGTACTGCATTTGTTCAAAAACAATCTCCTACAGCCAGAGGAGGAAGACACCGAACTCACTAAAACAATAAAAAGAAACATAATGCAGTATCTTGATGACAAATACAGCGACCCTGTGAAGAATGAACTCTTGGACATGTCCTCACTGATGGACCCCAGGTTCCGTACAACGTACATTGACCCCAAGAAGGTGTAACAAATCAAGAAAAGAGCTGTCACTGAGCTGATGTCTCTGCCTGCTGAAAAAAGTACGCCTCAGCAGCCTGGTCCAGCTGTGCAGGTGTGCCAAAGAGAAGCACATCCTCCGCCCAATAAGAAAATGACTTTAACTGTTTTCTTCAAGAAGAATGTGCCAGAGCCATCTTCTCAATAACCAGAGGAAGTGAAAGTAGAGACAGAGCAGGCAACCTACCTACTGACCCCTGAGGTTGACCCAGACACTGATCCACTTCAGTGGTGGAAACGTCACGAACCAAACTTCCCAAGGCTCAGTAATCTGGCCAAAAAATACATGTCTGTCCCTGCTACAAGTGCCCCATCAGAAAGGCTTTTCAGTGTGGGAGGGGGAATTGTTACATGTAACCGGGCATGCCTCAAGCCAGAGGTAGTAGACAGGCTTGTCTTCCTGGCTAAAAATGCATAAAAGAAGAATGTTGAAACTAAAGTAATGGATGCAGATGTTTCATTTTGTTTACAAGTTCAGGGATTCAGAACAACTGTTGAAAGTTGTGTTTGCCCTTTATGAATACCACTGTTAAAAGTATGTATTTTTGTAATACATCTAATTTTGTCATTTTTGTTACATTTATTTGACCAAAATTGTTTTTTCAAACTTTATTTATTATTTATATTTTAAGTTATTTTGAAGGTGCATTGTGTCACTGTAAGTTTGAAGTTATTATAAAACTGATAAGCTAGCTACATTTTCACTGTTTACAATGGCAGGGCCTGCCATCTCGTTTACAAGCATGTTTTGAGGCTTTTTTCCTGTTACACTTATGCCCCAAGGGGACATTTAGATTAAACTGCATAAGGGAAAATCAGAACGAAATAAAGAGTATATTTGTTTTGAGCAATTTCTTTGTCGGTTGTTGTTTGTTTTTAAATAGAAATAAAAAAATCGATTAAAACCGAAAATCGGGTTTGGTGTGAAAAAATCGGAGATTTTTTTTTTAAGCCATATCGCCCAGCCCTAGGTTTACCGCAGTCCGACGGATCCAGGCCGTATCCGGATCTGATGAAAGACCTGCGCCTGGACGCAACGACAACGCAGTCCTGAAGTGTCAACTAGTCCCTCCCCTGTGAAGGACCCCTTCTCCTTCCCTTTACCCCTGTACAGATGAAACGTTGTCAAAATAGTTCTGGTTCACATGGCTACTCAGAAGCGATAAATAATTATGTATTATACATTTTTAAGGCCAGACAAGTAATTTGTTTTGGTCAATTTGTAAAGAAAGACAACACGCCTGTGCACATATATATTCAAACGCGCATACCTATACACTAAACACGTAATACGCATGTGCACGCCATCAGCGTTTTACAGGTTTGCGTTTTTTAAGGTTGGGCCAAATTTTTTTAAATTATATATACACACATCATGTATATGTGTGTATGTATGCTTGCATGTGTTTGTATTTTCTTCAAGGCTTGCACCTTGGAACCTATTTCAAGGTTTGCGTTCCCAAGCCATCCAGGCACTGTTGTTGTGCGAATGAGCAGCCGGAGCACGTTAAGGGTTTCTTTAATTTCCTATTATCTCTGTAAAGCTGCTTTGAAACAGTCCATATTGCTAAAATATGGACCATCTGGGTTACTTGTATATAAATGAAGGTGACTTGACTCGACAAGTCAGTAGAACCTGAGAACTCGCATATACATCTGTAATCATGGCATTATACTCCTCCCCAAAAACACTTTTACATCGTTGAGGTGACACAGTCAGTAAAGGGAGATGTGACTAAACTAAAAGAGAGGAAAAACTCTACAGTAAATAGTCACACACACACTGTCTCTCGTCACTTAATCTTTGCTGTGTTTATCTCCAGGTTTTTTCTAACCCTGTTTTAGAAGGATGTCTGAAGCTGCATATGGACTGTGCATATTTTTCCTATTGTATATTGGTAAGGTGTTCTTTGTTAGAAAAAGGATCTGTAATTATTATTCTTTATCATGTTTGTTATTGTCCTTTGCTTTTAAGTAGAATATCTGTAAATCTAAATCTTTTTTCCCCCACAGGGAAGGGGGGATGTGTGAAGGTTCAGCAGAACCTGACACCAATATTAGCCAACAAGAACAGTATAGCAGAGATAAAGTGTAGTTATGATGACAATAGCAAGCCGTATATGTTATGGTATCAGCAAAAGGATACAGCCATGGTCTTAATAGCGTTAAGCTATGGTGCTACAAGTGACCCCACCAATGAGGATGGATTTAAAAAGCGGTTTACATTGAAAAGAACAGATACACTGAATGGAGCTCTGGAAATCTCTGAACTCAGTCTATCAGACTCTGCTGTTTATTACTGTGCTGTCAGTATGCACAGTGCTGAAGTCTTTATCACCTGCCTGACTAAAAACCAAACCACTAAACTTACAGCACACACAAACACACACACAATCTATTACACAAACAAGGGTACACTAGCGGTCTTGTGCCGCAGGCAATCACAGTCATGTTGATTTTCTGGAGAAAGACCACATTTTGTGACTGCGATATAAATATATGGGAGAAGTAGTATGAGTAGTACAGTATGTGAATACTATTTCCAATTTAGCCAGTGACTTTTTTAAATTCCTGAATAAATAATTTTTTTTTACAACTCAGTTAAATGATTCAAGGACTCACTCTTTTACAGTATTATCTTACATTATCTTTTCAGTATCATCTTTGCAACATGCTAATGTCAAACTACACTGGTGTCCGGGTGTGAATTGAGCACTATTTTGGTCGAGTTGCTGTCTATGTCAGCACTTGTATTCAGTCACTCATAAAGTTTCATTCTAGGTTTCTGGTTCAGAAAAGGAAAAGAAGAATAGTGTCATCATTTTTCCACCAATGACTAAGCAACAAAGGGGTGTGTCTTAAATAAAGATCCACAAACTTTTGTCTTTGTGTAGTTAACCGAACATCAGAGAATAATTCATGAAAAACATCTCTAAATGGAGTCTTTCCTTCTCCTATTCACTTTGCTTTGTCTTAAAGGTATTACTTTAACTTACAGTGATTCCCTTGGTTGTAACCAAATGTAGATTTTTAATGAACAACATATCTTGATTTTGATAATAAATCTTTGTATTTCCAGAAGATTTCAGTGGCAGTGTTTTGATCACTCAATGGCCGGAGTACATATCCAGCCTTCCAGGATCTTCAGTTGAAATGCACTGTTACCAGAATGATACAGACTATGACTACAAATACTGGTACAGGCATATAAAAGGTGAAGGGCCAGTGCTTGTTGGAAGCAACCATTTTAACTCTCCCTCTATTGAGAAGGACTTTAAAACTGGCTTTAAAGTGTCGGGTACAGAGAAAAAGAAATGGACCCTGACTGTGGATGTTAAGGAGGGGATTGATGCTGTGTATCTGTGTGCTGCTAGTTTACACAGTGAATAAAAGACAATAAACTATACGACAAAAAACTCTTTGGATGGCAACGGCAATCACACCTGCCTCAACCACAAATAAATGAACCCATATCTTTACAGACAAGTCAGTAGTGGCTGAGAACTCGCATAAGCACTTGTATTGAAGACGTTATACTCCTCCCTTCCACCAATAACACCAAGGTCTCATTGATGTAATACAGTCAGTAGGGGGAGATGTTACTGTTTATTTTAATATAGAGGTTTCCCAGGTTTCTATCTTTACTAAAGACTCATACACTCTGTCTTGTCACATTATTTTTGCATGAGTTTTTGGAACACTAGTTTAGAAGGATGTTAAGAGCTGCATATGGACTGTGCATATTTTTCTTCTTTTACATGGGTAAGAATTCATTTGAGATAGCAATCAATTTTTTTATCAATACTTCATAAAGGTTTGAAGTGGAATTTGGTCAATTTGAAGTGTAATGTTTTTTAAAGCCTGACTTTTCTTTTTAATAGGGAGGGCGAGATGTGTGAATGTTCAACAGAAGGTGAAGTCCTTATTTGCCAACAAAAATGACAAAACAGAGATGGAGTGTAGTCATGATGACAGTAGCATGCTAAATATGCTATGGTATCAACAGAAGAATACAGCAATGGATCTAATCGGTTACAGCTATGGTGTGAGTGACCCAACCTATGAGGATGGATTTAAAAAGCGGTTTACATTGAAAAGAACAGATACACTGAATGGAGCTCTGGAAATCTCTGAACTCAGTCTGTCAGACTCTGCTGTTTATTACTGTGCTGTCAGTATGCACAGTGCCACAGACTAAAACTACTGCTCAACTAAAACTCAAGCACACAGGAAACCAAAACATTTGTTACGCAAGTAAGCGATAATGTACATCCAGCCAGTTATTATCACAGAATAAACCCCTTCAGGATGATCAGGGATCTTTTATCACCCTGAAGGGATTTATTCTGCGATAATAACTGGATGTTGATTATCCCACTGATTGCACGGCTATTTCCCCACATGACATAACTAAATAATTGGAGACAAAATATCTATATATTTTTTTTAATATTTAATTAGCTCACTAAACGCAAAAGCTTCTGTGAAGAAACCAGTTGCTAGAAAGCTTTTAACCAAGACAACTGAACAATTTCAAACTAGACAAACATTTAAAGGGATACTCCACCGTTTTTTCATATTAAATGTTATTCCCTTAACTAAGACGAGTTGATACATACCTCTCTTGTCTCAGTGCGTGCACTAAATCGCTGTCTTGCGGCGAAATTTTGATAGCACTTAGCTTAGCCCAGTTCATTCATTAGGATCCAAGCAGAGAAGCGACCAAACACCTCCACGTTTTCCCTATTTAAATACAGTTACGCGAGTAGTGTAACTCGACCAAGAATGGTGACACAAAATAAAACGTTGCGCTTTTCTAAGCGTGAAAAGTGGATAACTATAATGTATGGCGGAATACCACAGCAAGTGCTTGGGAGCACTTCGACTCGGCGCAGTAATATCATCACTCATGAAAAATCCTCTCCCTCTCCGGAGTGATGATATTACTGCGCCGAGTCCATAGATATATATGTGCCGAGTCGAAGTGCTCCATAAGTAAATAATTGGAAACAAAACATATATATTTTTTTATATTTAAAGCTAAGAAAACGCAAAGCTTCTGTGAAGTAAACAGTTGCTAGAAACCAACTTATAACCAAGACAACTGAACAATTTCAAACTAGACAAAGATTTAAGTCATTACACAGCTTTTCACCACAAGCAAGAGCGAGTCCGCCGTGTGATACGAGAAACATGAAAGACATGCAGATACACGGATGGGCGGTATGTCATTCAGCGTTGCAATTGGCGACAGGAAACGGGGAATAACATACCTCGGAATGTCACAATTGACCAATCAGAATCAAGCATTCCAGAGAGCTATGTAATAATATACTATATTACACGGCTCTGTGGAATACTTGAATCTGATTGGTCAATAGCCCCATCCAGCGGTAAATAATTCCCAGACAACCGCTCAAAACAGATAACACAGGCTCATCCGGGAGTCAGCAGTGCTATACGCCTGCTGGGAATGGTTTTTCTTCGTGGAAGTTTTGTGTTTGGTGAGCTAATAAAATATTAAAACTCAGTCGAATTAATATTTTTTGTACAGTTATTTAATTATACCATCTAGTATCGTGGACTCGCTCTCTCTTGTTTCATACAAACGCAGGTACTGCCATTTTGTGACTATTGTTTTGTACACTGTTGGATTATGAGATACAAACAGGTACGATTTTAAAACAGTTTAATCTGAAATCAATATATCTGATCCCCATAATTATTTATGTGGCGAAATGCTGTGTAAGAAGTGATTTGAATGACTGTATACCGTATCTCTTAAATGTGCGTTTAGTTTGAATTTCCAGCTGCAACTGCTCACTCCGTGGAAGCTTTGCGTTTAAAGACCTAATAAAATATTTCAACTCAGATCAATATTTCGTGTCGAATTATTTACTTATGTGGCAAGTACCCGTGTAATAAGCGGGATAATGTACACCCGCTTCGCGTCGGGGTCCTCATCATCCTGTCGGGGGTTATTTTGAGAGAACCACCGGCTGGATGTACATTATTACTTAAACTAGTGGTTCTCAATGTTTTGACTCAAAGACAACCATTGTCCATCACAATATTTGAAGGCCTGCCCTCATACAGACTAAACTATTTTTAATTTTAAAATAACTTTTTATGAACAGAAACTGGAAGTGATTCATTTTGTGATTCCAGTAGTTTTAAATTTACATCTTGCCATTTCAATTAAGTTTAAATTTGATGTCATCCTGGGGGAAACTTACTGAGGCCCCCTGGCTGAGAAACACTGCTTTAAACCATCACAATAATAGTTAGTCACAGATTATAGTCAAGTCATTCTGCTATCAACATTTACAAAACAGACTCTTAATTCATGCACTACAATTTAATGATGCCATGGGTTAGATATCTACAGTATATTATGCCATAATTATAGATAATAATAGACTTCTACAGAAAAATATAATTTAAATAATGCTGAGAAACACATGAAAATGATTGGAATACATGAGCATTTGAACAAAGAACTGTGGGCCAACAGGGGGAGATGCAACACGGGTTTAAAAAAAACTGGGAAGTGACAGTTACAATACAGGATATAACAATCTTTCCTCTCTCTCTAATGTCTCTAAGTATCTTTATAACACTTTCATTCTCTGTAACACTGCACTTCAGAGATGTGTGTGGTCGCTTTTAGGCTGGGCTTTTATCTCATCATATTTTTAAGTATGCAAATACACAATCAATTTTGACAGAATGTTGATTTTTTTTCCAGAATGTTTTCTAACTTTACTAATATTTTCTCCACAGGGACTGCAGATTGTGTACAGTTTGAACAGTCTCCACATTTGATTGCCAATCAAAATGGCAAGGCAGAGATTAACTGCAAGCATGATGACAGTAACTTAGTTGTTATGTTATGGTATCGACAACAGAGAACAGGCATGTCTCTAGATCTAATCGGCTACGGTTACTCAGGATCTTCACCAAACTCTGAGCCTGGATTCACAGAGCGATTTACACAAACTAGACAGGACACAGTGACAGGATCTCTAACCATCTCAGAACTCACTCCGTCAGACTCGGCTCTTTATTATTGTGCTGCTAGTACACAGTGCTACAAAATCAATTATTACTAATAGAAAAACCCTCTACCTCTATTCTAAGATATGTTTTTTTTTTCTTCAGTTTTATGTTACTGTAAAATATTGAGATATGATTCTGACGCAAGTGGTGAACCACTATCAGGTGTGTTACACAAACCATGACTAACTGTCAGTACTAAATGAGCTTCCTTTCAGGTGAGAAGTAAACAAAAAGCAATGGAAAATGAATTGTGTCTGCTGTTAGTGCTGTTTATTTGCACATGCTCATGCCTTCCGTGTTATTTTAGTGTGTGATTTATTGAAGAAATTATGCAAATCATCAATTTGAAGGCACAGTTTTTGACCTCATATCATTTTCTTCTTTTTTTTTACAACCACCGTTACGAAAAAGTTTTCCAAGTGTGCTTTTAGTATACTTCTTTTAAACTAAAAATAAGTATACTTTTAGTCTACTTTTATACTTCTCAGAAATATACTTTATGTAATTCTAAGAAATTTAACCCTATATAAAATTGCCCTGAAGTATACTTGTTTCACATAGTTTTACTCGGTCTAAAAAACTTACATTGTTTGAAAATATAGATTTATAAAGAAAAAAGATATGTCCCTAATTCCGAGTATCTGAATTTTTATGTAGGCTATTCCACTAGTAGCGTACATGGTAATGTACTTCAAATACTTTACTCTTTCCCCACCATTGACTGAAATTCCAGGCTATCAGTTCACTGTTATACGGTAGGGGGCGCTATTACACCTCTTCTGTGAATCTCCGGTTCAAAGCACAGGTGAAGAAGAAGAAACAACAAGTGAGAGAAGATTACTTACGCAAATGTAAAAACGCGAAAATCGCGAACATTAAACAGCATTTTAATCAAACCAATACTGAATGAAATGTTGATCCAGGAAGGGTGAACGAAGCTTTGGGGGTGTTGATGGACTATATAAATAGTAAAATATAAGCATGTTGTGTTCACAAGTATACCTGCAGTATAAAACTACTAAACTAGTAAACTATCACTATACCTATAAGTTCACTTGTAGTACAGTTGCAGTAAACGAAAAAGTTTACTACGGTTACACTTAGAGTATACACTTTTATACACTAAAAAGTGGACCAATTTAGTCCCAAGTAGTATTGAAACACTACACTTACAAATATACTTCTAGTGCATTGATATTAGTATACTTACATAAAGTATACTTGAACTTTACTTTATTATACTTCAAAATAAACTTGAAGTATACTTCTTTTTTTGTAAGGGCATTCTTCAGATGAATGGTTTTGTTCAGTGTCTTGCTGAATTGCCCAACCTCTCTAAAGCATGATCTGCTGTCCTGACAGTTATCCTGTAAAATGTCTTGACACATGTTTGAATTCATTGTTACATCAATGATTTCAGTGTTCAGGCCCAGAGGCAATAAAGCAGCGCTAAACCATGATGCTT